AGTTGCAAAAGATTTCCTTACTCACTGTGCTCAATCCACTGTTACTGCTAGCAAAGAACAGACCACCACAGTCTTGCCAAGCTATGCCTTTGTCTGCCTTACTTGCTAACAACCCCAGCGAGCACTGCTGCGAAACCCCAAGTTTCTATCAGTGAACAGATTCCTTGCATTTACGCTCAGATCTATAAAACAACAAATCCTTTCCACATATTACTTTATTGTGGGGACTTCCTGCTGTCATATAATAGTTATCATTTACCATTCTCCCCTCCACTTATCTTTTGGGGTTTTTTTGGAAAGGAGACAGATAGACAAGGTCACCTTTTCACGGGGAGAGCCCATCTATTTACTGAGAATATCAAGACAAAGATTTGTAATCACTCAAATGAAAATAAATAGAGATGAGGTGTTAATGCTTAATTACCTATGTACCACAGTAACTTGAAACTGTAGCCAGCCAGCTATAAAGCCATTCAAGCTTGACAAAGAATAAAGCTGGACTTGAGTCACGTTCAGATCTCAGAGTCTTCTGTGTTAATTTAAAGCAAAGAGATCAAGACTAACCTACGCTGGCCACTGAAATACATGTTGGCTTGCTGTGCTAGTAGAGTACTGGGCAAAATCCTCACTTGTTTCAATAAGGCAGTCAACAGTATAACAAGTTTCTAACTTCACATAAGGAAAAGTGAAACTCTAAACAAAGGTACTTTCATCCATCTCAAGATGATCTCTGAGGTAAAAATACAGTTCAACGTACCTGTATTCTTTCCTTTTGGACTCCTGAAGGAGCAATGTAGATTTCATTCCTAAGAAAAGTTACAGACAGGGAAAATTGATAAACACAGGGTTGTTCAACTGCACAGGTATTAGAGCTCTCCATCCACTGAAAAGGAAATAGCAAATCTAGCCCCTCATAATTTAATAACTTTCTTGCTCCTTCGATACAAGTGCATATGAAATCTCTAACTTGCAGGGGTACAAAACCGTGCTTTCAACTTGACAAGAGATCTGAAACACATGTAGGAAGTGCAGCCTTATTTTTCCTACAAAGAAAAACACACAGCCTCGCCCTGCAATAATTCCAAACTCAAATCCCCAGAATTCAGAATAAAAATGGAACAAGAGAAATTGCAAGCATATACTGATCTATGACAAAACAGGTGACAAAACTATTACTTAAAAATCCAGACTACCTATAAACAATATTAATTATCTGTAGTATTCTACAATGTAAATACTTTTGGTTTTTGTTATAACTGCATAGTTTAGGTTTTTAATGCATTTATATATTTATTTGTATCGATAAAAAGATAACACTAATTCAATGTAATTAGATGACTAAAATTCAAGTAGAAGCACATCACTTCTTGCAAGGTTTACACGAACAAAGACTATAAAAAATTGATTAATTATTTTAAGATGGTATCTTTAGTATTTTCAATAATAGCAAAAAAAAAATCAGATTATCTCTCTCTATTGTAATCACTATTCAGTTTCAACAGTAATATACTAAATTCAGGAGCACAGAGACATCTAGTGAATAATTAGTCAAGTTACAGAAACATTTCCTAAGGACCATGAGATGTTTATATTTCTGGACAAGAGCACTTAGAAGAGCAACGAAGCTGGTGAAGGATGTAGAGAAGTCTTATAAGAAGCGGCTGAGGGAACTGGGGTTATTTAGTCTGGAGAAAAGGAGGCTGACGGGAGACCTTATGAAAGGAAGTTGTAGCGAGGTGGGCGTTGGTGTCTTCTTCGAAGTAGCACGTGATAGGACGAGAGGAAACGGCCTCAGGTTGTGCCAAGGGGGTTTAAATTGGATATTAGGGAAAACTGCTTCACTGAAAGGGTTGTCAAGCATTGGAACAGGCTCCCCAGGGAAGTGTCAGAATCACCATCACTGGAGGTATTTAAAAGACGTGGAGATGTGGCACTTAGGGACATGGTTTAGTGGTGGACTTGGCCGTGGTAGGTTTATGGTTGGACCTGATAATCTTAAGGGTCTTTTCCAACCTAAATGATTCTCTGATTCTAACTCTTCCAAAAATACAACTCTTAAGATGATAGTGGTAAAATGGCTGTGAAGCACATCAAAATGTGGCTTTATCATATTTGTAATTTTTAACATTCATGAATTAACACTGCCAACACTGCATTAAGTTAGTCAATTCCTTTGCATGAGCAAGATGATTGACAGTGCAACATATGGGGAAATCAAGTGGTAATTCAGTTACTAATGAGACATGCATTTTTTCTTAAAACAATTTTTTTTCTTTTTTAGAAATTAATCACAAAGGGAAAATCTGATGATGAAATACAGCTTTTGAAATTCAGGACACCAGACAAAGAATTCTAGATACATTTTTAATATGCTACTCCATGTCCAAATTGGCATTTTTATTCTGAGTAGTTGATACGAACTGCACAGTGAGTAATACTGATGAGGATTAGCTGGTAAGACCAGTTGTTAGAATTTCAATCAAATTTCAATTGTTCTTTCACTATTTCCTATGTAACAATTCTAAGCTAGTCTGATCCCTGCCTCATAGCTATTAATTTTGAAACATAGCTACTGTTACTGTAGGTATAAAACAGCACAGCCACATAGATTACTATTCCTAGACCACGTACACTATTGGTACAAACTCAAATATGTATTTCAGTGTAGTCTGAGCAACCAAGTTATAGAACTGCTGAAGAAAACTGTACTACTATGTTAGTGTATTCTCTGTTGACACCATTTGTCTTGCCACAACCAACATGATATGCGCTGAAATGATGAAGAAAATAGGCAACATTTAGCTACTGATGAGAAATTAGTGCTAGAAAGATCTTTCCATAGACAAAGAACTTTAAAAACAAGAATTAACCCTCTTATCATTCCTCTCATTATTATTATTGCTGTTGCTTTGCTTGCAAAATCAAGCAAGGAAGCGAAATGACCTGCACAAAGCCATTAGAACAGCACAAATATTAGCATTTAGAGCCTTTACTTCAGAGATACATCTCTCTCTCATATATTTGAATAGCAATAGCTGTTTGTATCTGCATGCAAGTGTATGTCAGAAAAATGAGAGGTCAGACACTTTCAAGTTAGAGTGTCACAACACCCTGTGCCTGGGCACAGAATTGCAGGCACTGTGCAAGGTGTTTTGCAGAATGAGGACTTCTCTTTTTTCAGTGGCCACTAAGAGGAGCTCTGTCTCCATTAAGAGCTTGGAAAGAATGAATAGGGGGAGATGAGCAAATTAAAAAGCAAACTGGTGCTCCTTAGTAGTGGATACACACCAATAATTGTTTTGCTGTTACCTGTCCTGCTACAATTATATGTTAAGAATATGTCCTTAGAAATTATCTCAGTAGAACAGTAATTTGCCTCTTAAAGGAAATGTCTTGCCTGTAAAATGTCTAGGGTGGGATTCATCTCATCTAACCACAGGCATTTGAAAGCTGTATGCCTGGTGCAACCCACTCTAAATTCCATAGTCAATGAAATGAAAAAGGGGGAATGCATTGTTCCTTAAAGACAATTCATCTACCTTAAACAAAGATAGGAAAAGGACGGGAAAAAATCATTCTCTGAAGTTGGCTCTCTCCATTGAAGGGACTGCAATGATTAGTTCAGACTAGCCACCTCCCTTCTATAAGGTTAAATTTGGCGTACTGTTCATTTCCCCTTCTACCTTCTTGCTCACTCTTAACTTTCAAACATTTTTCATGGAAGAGAAATGCTCTCACCAACTACTAAACGCAGTCCTCCTCTCTCTCTCTAATCATCACATTCTTTCTCTTCCATCTTTACTTACCCATGTTTCAAGCTGATTCCTCCACCAGTTCCTGTTACCCAGCCTAAACCATAAAACAGTCTACAAAGCTCCGGGATAAGATTTCTTGGATGTAACTTCTCCTAAAAATAAAGAAATTAATTGAAAACCATCAGAAACATCACAAACCTAAGAATTTAAATTCTGAAATTTAGTTCAAAGGGGCAGTATTTTCATACTGCAGTATGACAGTCTAATTTATGAACTTCAGTTACAAAATGACTGCGTGTTTACACAATGCCCTTTACACTTTGCAGGGGCCATTCACACCTTGAAATGAACAAACAAAACCCCCAAACAAAATGCACATCTGATTATCCTTCACAGGAAAGGTCTCATCTCAAATTTATTTGAGTGCAGTGGCCCACAGGTATTACACCAACGAGATTAAGTCATAGACTACTGCCATAAAAAAAAGAAAAATAAATGCATCTAACATTATTCATTTTGAAAAGCTCAACTAGTAACTTTTCCCATTGAATCAGTTTTCTGTAGGTTTATTTTGCTTGATTTACAAATTTCAATGGAACAGACTATTAGTTCTGTTATATCATACTTTTACATAGCAGTGAAAAATACCATAGAAAACATAGGCCAATTATTTGATGAACTTCACATTCCTACATTTTTACAATGTGAGGTTACCTCACATGCAGTTTAGCCAGAAGACAAATTACATTATTTTAATATTTCTTTCAGAAGGAAAAAAAGTTCTTAAATTTTTCCGTATTCCATTTTTTATTACATCAATAAATATATCTATATCTGTATCTATTAAATAAAGGTATCTGTAGTGTCAGAGATTAATTCATAGTTCATCTAAACCAGAATGGCTTTACAAGCCAAAACTATTTATTGGAAATCCTAAACATTACTCTATACTGAACATATAAAACTAAGAAAGCTGTACCTAACAGGTAGCAGTCTTTGATAACTGAGTACTACATTGGAAAATTAAAAATTTCGAATGTTGGAATAATTTACATGAGAAATATAACCAGTATACACAGAGAAAACTGTGAGATGCTACTTTAATTCACGCTGTGTGCTTGAATTTATGAATTTGCATGTTGTCTTGAGTATTTTAACTTATCTGAGAGAATAAAATGCCAAAGTCTTCCCCCATTTACCAGTGTAAAAATAAAAATCATATGTGCTTTCACAAAGATCCTGATACAACTGAAGTTGAATTCCCATCAAGTAAGGAATTAAACAGTAGAGAAACAGAGTAGTAAATTTATTTATGTCAATTTATCTCCCTGGGATAGGGTAAGATTTCCACTTACATTACCACAGTAATAAAGCTGGTTTTGTTTCTTACATGGTGTGTGACAGAAATCAGCAATTAAGCACAGCAGATGTGTTCCTTGCATTGTTTTCAACAGAAAAATGGATTAGTTTTAGGAAGGCTAAAACCCTTAGGTCACCAAATACAGTCCCCTGCTACTGCAGCCAACTCTCATGTAACTCTTTATATAGTGTAGCACCATATTCTTCAATGGCACTTGTTTCTGAAGTGATTATCTTTAAAGAACTGGGATTTAGTTCAGATGCTATTCCTGCCTGCTCTGATTTTGTTTCTATTATTTACAGTCTCTTTTAATATATTAAAAAATCATCTGTTTATTCATTTCAAGTGATAGAAACAAGACTCTAACCAGCACTCCTAGAAACTTACGTAAGAAGTTAAGATTTTTAAAGCACCGTGAACCTTCATCAGTTCACATTACCTGAAACAAATAGAACACCATATACAAGAGTACATGAAGGAAGAAGACCCTAGGCCAAATAAGCAAACTCCTACATTTACAGTGAAAAAAATCTGAAATCTTCCCCATTCACACAGCTGAAAATGAAACCACTCCTTTCCAGCTCTTCGCCACCAAAAATAGTAATATACATCAAGTACACTCTAACTAAACATTCCTCAAATACTAATGACTCTGAAATGTACTGTGAATCTGAAAATATTAACGCGTTGTATGTTTACAAACACAAAGCAAGCACATAGTATGTGTAAATTATGGGTCCCCATTTTGTTCTGATTTATTTATACAGAATTAATGGCTGTACATAATTTTTATCTATTCATCCGTCACAAAACTGAGTCCCACAGCATCCTGTTTTGACTCTTATTCAAAATGGCATCACTGTCTATTTCTAACCTATGTACTACACCAGTATTTTTCATTTCAAAGAAAAATTCTCTCTCTTCTACTTTTGATCGAATAAGCTTATATTAAACAAGTTTATATTGCTATTATTTATTGAATGTACACAGCCATAAAAAAATCTAGATTATAACACTCCTACAGTTTCATATTTTCCCTGTTTGATGAATCTAGACATTTACTGCAAAATTCATATTCATGGAAGAACATGAGTGCTTTTCACCACTTTAAATCATTAAAAACAATTTTTAAAAGTTCAAATGCAGAAGCTACTTTCATCAAAAACATATGAAAATAAATATAATAAAGGCATTTTGACTATTTTTCTGAAGAATTCCAGGATTATAAATCAATCCTCAGAGTTTAACAGTATTTTTCCAGGATCAGTGGATACTGATTATAGCCATAAACTATCTAAACAAAAATATTACTGTATTTCATGTTTAAAATTACTGATAGTAAAAATGACAGTTCTTTCCATAACTAAAAAAGGGTACTTGCTGTAATAAGCCTGGGAGTGAACATGTGTGAAAGCAGTAGGCAACTCAACAGGATTATTCTTTGTCAAATCTCAATTAGCAGTACTTTTAAATTTGATTTTTAAGTTGAAGTACAGATGCCATTGGTTATCTCTTCCTTCATATTTCCAACTCAGGATCTGGCCCACTAGTTTTCTGATACAGCTAACATGAAAAATTTAGCTTCTTTGCTGCTATGCTGTTACCATCTTAGCCTAAGTTTCTACATGCTGTTAGGTATGAAGGAAAACTCCACAAATTTCCATGAACTAAAAGAAATGACTAATTTTTTAATCCATAAAATTATTATTTTGAAAACAAATTTGCTGGTAAATTTCTAAACAGAAACTGACTGAAAGTATTCACTGAAAATTTAGAATATTTCCAGCAGTCAAATCTTTTCAAAAAATCATTATTGTATTCTGCAAGACTGTGGTTGCTCAAGCAAAATTAGCTTTTTCCTATTTTATTCAAAGTATTGTACCTAATATGATTTAAAAAACAAACCAAAACAAACCCATCCTCCCAACCCAAAAACCCAGAAAACAATGTAGATCTAATATAATGGAAATCAAGGTGGACCCAGGCTACTTGTGGAACAAACACATTTGTAAAGGTTTTGGGGACAATTTTCAAAAGGTGTAAAACTGAACTACAATGTGGATATTTTAAGATATTACAGTAAAAAAACGGTGCCTGAAATATGTATCTCCCTTTCATAAATTGCTTAGAAATCATGTATTTTCTTCAGAAATAAGCACAGACTGCATAGATGAAATCATACCATTGATATTTCATATTGACGGGTAGTAAATCATGATGAGTTTCTTTGAATAGCTGCATAGTCATAAGTTTGATGTGGTAGAACAGATTTGTGTTATACTGTACACATAAAGTGAGAAATGTGCTGTTAATAAGCTGGTGGATTTCTGTTTAAAATGTCTTTAGCATAGAAATGGATCAAATAAACCAAAGTAGCACAAACAATGCCATGATCCTTTAAAAAAGTTTATTTTCTACAACACCTTCAGCACCATACAAGGATTCTATAATGCAAAAGGGAGTTTTTTTAGGTGAGAAAAAGAAATAATTGTAATGAAGATACAGGAAAGCAATGTGGTGAGGATTCCTACTCTGCTTAAAAGCTTCAGACTGTCAATTTTTATAGCAAGTGCAGACCTCCAAGTGAAATTGATCATTTATGGTGTGCCTTTTTTATGTTTTGAATTTTCTTATTGTAGCAATTAGAAGCTTTAATAGTTTTTTAAAAATGACAAGTGATGAGCTGCTCTACTGCTCAGCTTAGTCATTTATGCCCATGAAAGGACATTTCCAAGAGAAACGTTTGTTTAGCAGCAGGAACCCACATTAGGGGTATTCTGTTAACACCCACAGAATAAAGAGAACAAAAGCGAAAAATAAGTAGCACATACCAAAACTGGTAGGCAGGTAGTTACTTAGTACCAATAGCTTTGCTGAAACATTAAGAAAAAAGTGCTGTTGTCCCTGTTATCTCCCCCACCCCAATACCACAGTGACTGTGAAGTTGAAGACTGAGTGATCCTTGAGGGTCTAAAGTAAGACCGTAAGACTTAAGCAAAGGGAAACTACGATTTTGTGAGTCCCTCAACTGTCCCCTGGCCCTTAGAATCACAGCAAGCAGAGCCTTTGTTTAATGCAGCCCCTCTGAACGAACAGACCACTTGCATCTTGTTGCATTTGCTACAGGGGGCTGCACACCACAGGAAAATGCTTCCAGTTGGTGTTGGACTTGCAGAACCAGGCATGGGGAGGCAGTGGAGGCAGTGGCGGCAGCATGGGAGAAACGGACACGGGTGCAAGACAGCAGTAGTGGTTCTGAGGCAGCAGACAGGGAAGGTGAAGTGATGGAGACGGCAGCCTTGGGCAAGTTTGACAAGGTTTGGAAGCTCCTACTTTAACCTCATCTTTAAAACCTCCAATGACAGTGAGTCACAAACTCCTTAGGCAATCTGTTTAACTGTCCCAGGTTAGAAACATTTTTCTAATGCCTAACCTAAACCTTGCTTGCTGAAACTTAAGCTTGTTGTCTCTTACCAAACAGTTATGGACATAAAGAAGACATCCTTCCCTTTCATCTCTGTAACATCATTTTATGTATTAAGACAACAACTCCATTTGCTCCTCTTTTTTTTTTTTTTTTTTTTTACTAAACA